TTCGTTTTAACTCCAAATTCGACTCCGTAAATTCTCATAGACCCGTTTCGACATTCTAAAACTGCTGGAATCGACGGAAATCCGATTCGAGTCTCGAAACTCCAAATGACTCGAAATAGCACTTTTAACCAAACTTTAACTCTTAAAAACTCAACTTTCCAAAAACTCAACTTTTCATCAATTTTCCTCCAAACCAACTTCGAAAATACAACAATTGGGACTCGGGGCAACTATCGGGAGGGGTAAAACGGTCATTTTATGAAAATTTCCAAAAATGACCTTTAGGGTCATTACAGTACTTTTTATTAGCCTTGAGCTCATTATCAAGAACTTTCAACATCTCACTAACTTCCTCTTTACCTTTCTCTTGCTCCTCTCCTTTGCGTAAAAAAGTATTTACCACCGCTCCCACCTACAAAGTACACACTCAAAACTTAACAACAATATACTACGTCTCAATTTCAAGTAAGTCAGAGTTGACTACTTATATAAATTATGTGAATAGGAATATACCTTATTATCAAGGAACTTAGCCCAAAAACGAGCTAAAGCTCGATCATAAGGGTCTTTAGGCAAGATGGAAGGGCCTTCAAATGTCTCGTCGATGTATTCAAGAATGATCATTGACTCACAAATGGTCTTGCCATTGTGAATTAGCACTGGGACTTTCTTGTGAATAGGGTTGGATTGAAGAAGTAAAAGGCTTTTGTTATCTCGATCTTCTTCAATATATTCATATTTTACACCCTTAATCTTTAGAGCCCATTCAACTCTATGACTAAATGGACTATACCAAAAACCTAACAACTTCACTTGTGTCATATCACAACTTTGGTTATAATGCTAATTTACTATGTTAAAGAATATTTTAGTGGTGGTTGTCTCTTGAATTATGATCTTCTTTTATAAAAGGAAAAAATCGAGGTAGTCCTAAATTTCTAGTCGATTTTTAATTTTTTTTTTACAAGATGCACCGTAAGAAGTTGTGGGAGAAGTACGTATAGCCTCACCATGATCCACTATATGTTTGGACATTTAAGTGCCATTTTACAAGAATTATGTGATTTTTTTCAATTTTTCGTGTGCCACTAAATAGTATGCCCAGTGGCAATTTTTTTAATAAGTACTCCCTTCATTCCATATTAATTGAATTTTTAAGGTGTTTTACACCCTTTAAAAAAAGTAGATTAAGATATAAATTGAACATAATTTTTCATTTTTACCCTTATTCATTATTGTCAAATTTATTGAAGTCATCACATTGAAAACCCAAATGAAGGGTAAAATTGAAAGAACACTCTAAAAGTAATCTTGAAAACTGAACAATTAAGTTAATTTGAAAAAATGAAAAATGCCTTAAAAATTCAATTAATATGAAATGAAAGGAGTAATAAATAAAGATCCACACTGGTGAGAAGTACAATCAAGTGGGGCAATATTTTATTTTTTTCTTTTGCATACCAATACATAATTGAATCTATTGAAATCAATGGAGATTCACAATTTTATTCAGACAAATAATTTGGAACTTCAAAAGATGAACACGTACAAGTAAGTGGGGGCAACATTAATGAAGTACAAATATGATTAAAACACATAATTTGAAACTTTAAAAGATGAATCGGAATGTATTTATTTTTGAGTAGAAGCAGAAGCTGCAGCTGCAGCTTGAGCACGAACGAAAACTTGAAAAAAAGCAAGCAAATCATTTCTCGAAGGTAGATATTCCTTGACTTGACTGCAATTAACGTACTCATCTCTCCAACCACAAAAATTTGGAAATTTTTCACTTGTTACTAATTCAATTCCAGAGCCTTCTTGGAAAACTCCAAGCCAAAGTCCAACCAAATTTGCAACAATATCAGCATATCCAAATTTGTTAGCCACAAAGAAAGTTTTGTCTTTGAGCTCATTATCAAGAATTTTCAACATCTCACAAACTTCCTCTTTAGCTTTCTCTTGCTCCTCTCCTTTGCCTAAGAATGCATTTACCACCGTAACCACCTACACAAAGTACAATGATACTACGCCTCAATCTCAAATAAGTCAGAGTCGACTATTTATATAAACTCTCATTAATCCATATTATTTTATATACAAAATTATGAAAAGTGTTTCAAGCTCTCTATATTTTCTATATAATAAGATCTAAAGTAAATGTACTAATATATTGAATGAAGACGAATTTACCTTATCATCAAGGAACTTAGCCCAAAAACGAGCTAAAGCACGGTCTTGAGGGTCTTTAGGCAAGATGGAAGGGCCTTCGAATGTCTCGTCGATGTACTCAAGAATGACCATAGAATCACAAATGGGCTTGCCATTGTGAATGAGCACTGGGACTTTCTTGTAAATAGGGTTCGATTCAAGAAGTAAAGAGCTCTTGTTATATCGATCTTCTTCAATATATTCATATTTTACCCCCTTAATCTTTAGAGCCCACTCAACCCTGTGAGTAAATGGACTATACCAAAAACCTAGCAACTTCACTTGTGCCATATCACAACTTTGGTTATTATGCTGATTTACTATGTTAAAGGATATTTTAGTGGTGGTTATGTCTTGAATTATGATCTTCTTTCTTCTTTTATAGAAGGGAAAATTGAGGGAGTGGTTGAAGGTTCCTATTTTATTTATTTTTTAAAATATAATCTTGTAATATTTTATTCTTTACCTAGAACCAAACGTTGTGTAAGACTTGGAAAAACAAATGGTTTTTAAATTAGTCCATGTTTGTTTAAAGACCAACGTAAGTGCTTAGCTAACAAACAAAAAGTCGTGTTATTATTGAGAATATAATTAAATAATAAAAGTGTGTTTTCTTTAATCGTTTAAACTTTTAAATAAGGTGGTCATACACTTTAACATAATATCAATCACCGCCCATATTTTAAAAAATAGCGATGAAGTAAAACAAAATAAAAAAATTCATGTAGGTCAAAACAAACTACTTTTAATTTATAGTACATAATATATGTCTTGTGGTACAAGATAATTTCGTCACTGCAAACGATTACTGAATTTTTAGTCAGTAGAAAAATTAAGTCACAAAGCTATTGTTTTTTAACATATTAAGGTAATTTGAAATATTTTTTTCTAAAATAGAAATGATTGTAAACTCAAACCTATGAAACCAGGATAATCATTTTCTGTTTAAATTTTTGTTGATTAATGTCTTTTATTTATAAAATGTGGGTAGTCAAAATATTAAAAGAATTGATTCTCTTTTTACTTTATTTTTAGCCAATTATTTGAAGGGTTCATTGAATTTTCCAATTGACACACTTGTGAGTTGTGACTTGTTGGTAGGCACTTATCCTCCATATATATTCAATTGTATTATCTACACCCATGCTTATCTTTCAAATTGTTTAAATTTAACATAGTTAAATAATTTAATTTTTTTTAATTATTTAGCCTTTCATATTCAAAATAATTTATTTTTTAGATAAATCAATAGAAATTTATTATTTTTATAATATTATATTCATCATTAAATAACTCTATAAGATATTAATAGCAATATTTATATTTTTAAAGCATAATTAAAAAAAATAAACTCGTTATAAATAATTTATTAAGAAAAATATCAAATTAATATAAATCAACTAAAAATAACCTAAAAATATATTCATTGACTCTACGTAGGCATTCAAATAAGATTTTACATTTATGATGAGTAAATACAATTTACCAAGATATATCAATTTTTTTTAATTTTTATAATATTGGACCTGTATTAATACGGACCGTTTCCCCGAACTTGTACTACAATTATATGAGTTATATATATATTTTTTATAGAGGCTTACACATATAAGTCATGATAATGATCGTTTAAATATTTCTTTACATATGCCACGCACTCACTATTTCATCAAACAATTCTTACCTTTCTTGTAATTATAATTAATCGTATCTTACTTTTCTTGCTTTTTTCTATTTCTTTTCCAATTGATAAGATTTTTTTTATAAAAAGTGCTTAGTGGTAAATTTTGCTTAAAAAGAGAATAAGATACGATTAATTATTGTAGAATCACTGACCAGTCAACATATTAAGAACAGTAACACAACACACTTATTGGTATGTTACTAGTTGGCTAAGCTAGCTTTTTCTAACAAATAATTTTATTAGGACTTTCTTAATCTCATACAAACACACATTTTAACTCTTTTCTTTATTTGCACACTTATACATAATTGAAATCTCCGAGATTCGTACTAGAATCATAATCTTATTCCAATATATAATCCAAATCTTATATGAGTATTCATTTATTTTTAGGAGTAGCAGAAGTTGGAGCTTGAGCGCGAACACGATCTTGATAAAAAGCAAGCAACTCATCAAATCTTGAAGGTAAATATTCCTTCACTTGACTGCAATTAATATACGCATCTCTCCAAGTACAAAAATTTGGAAATTTTTCATTTGTTGCTAATACAACTCCAGATGCTTCTTCGAAAAATCCCATCCAAAGTCCCACCAAATTTGCAGCCATATCAGCATAACCAAATTTGTCAGCCACAAAGAGCATCTTGTCCTTGAGCTCATTATCAAGAATTTTCAACATCTCACAAATTTCCTCTTTAGCTTTCTCATGCTCTTCTCCCTTGCGTAAGAATGCATTTACCACCGCGGCCACCTACAAAATATAATAATACTACGCCTCAATCTCAAGTAAGTCAGATCGAATCTGCTATTTATGCAAATAAGAATATATTGAATGAAGATGAATTTACCTTGTCATCAAGGAACTTAGCCCAAAAACGAGCTAAAGCTCGATCATAAGGGTCTTTAGGCAAGATGGAAGGGCCTTCAAATATCTCGTCGATGTACTCAAGAATGACCATAGAATCACAAATGGGCTTGCCATTGTGAATGAGCACTGGGACTTTCTTGTAAATAGGGTTGGATTCAAGAAGTAAAGGGCTCTTGTTATATCGATCTTCTTCTATATATTCATATTCGATGCCCTTAATCTTTAGAGCCCACTCAACCCTGTGAGTAAATGGGCTATACCAAAAGCCTAGCAACTTAATTTGTGCCATATCACAACTTTGGTTATAATTGTTTGCTAATTTACAATGTTAAAGGAAATTTTAGTGGTGGTTATGTCTTGTATCATGATCTTCTTTTATACAAGGAAAAATTGAGGGAGTGGTTGAAGGTTCAAACGTTGTGCAAGACTTGGAAAGAGAAATGCTTATTAAAATTAATTGTTCAAAGGCATTGATATGACCTACGTAAGCACTTAGCTAACAAATTAAAATTGTTCATATTTGACTTGTACATAGTGTAATTGGAGTATATGTTTTGTGGTACAAGATAAGTCGTTACTCCAAACGATTACTAAGTCTTAGTCACTAGAAAAATTAAGTCACAAAGTTATTGTTTTTTAATTAGGCGTGAACAAAATCGAATTCAAAATTACCTTAAAATGTGAACAGAGAAAAAATATTTGACTAGTGATTTGATTTAGTATTGAAAAAAAAATTCGACTATAATTGAGTTGTTTTGATTTTAACTTTTAGAAGTTAATTCCTAACCAAATCAACCCCATATAAAAGTATTTACTTTGATATAATCATATAAATAATTTTTTATTATTTTTATCTTTTAACATATTATATAAAATAACATATTATCTCTCTTTATATACGAAAAGGGTAAAAAATGCCCTTAAACTATGCGAAAGGAACAAAAATGCCCTTCGTTTGTAGTTTGGTCCAAAAATACCCTTGTCGTCAATACTTTGTTCCAAAAATGCCCTTATTGTTATTTAATGGGTCAAAAATACTCATCTTCCAAATAAAAATATTATTTGTTTTCTTTTTAACACATTCTTTTTTCTAATTATATTTTTTAAAATTAGGAAATGTTTATCTTACTTCAATTCAGAAAAAAATAAAAAATGAAAATATTTCTTCTTCTTTTACAACTATTTTTTATCGTTATATAAATGCAAATTAATGATGGATATATTATGATATTTTATATATGACATATATTATATGTCGAATCGGGTACATGAAATTATTCTATTTTAATTGATAAAATGAGATTAAGAAGAAAAAAATATATCTTACATTTTTATTTCTTAAAGTGATTTTAAAAGAAAGAAAACAAGAACATGGTTCTTTAATAATATTTTAATTGGGAAGAATATGTGTTTAAAAAGGAAAAGCAGAATATATTTCTTTAGAAAGGGCATTTTTGACCCATTTAGTAACTATAAGGGCATTTCTGGACCAAAGTATTGACTGCCAGGACATTTTTGAACCAAACTACAAACGAAGTGCATTTTTGTTCCTTTCACAAAGTTTAAGAGCATTTTTTACCATTTTCCAAAAAGAGAGAGAGAGAGATTAGTCTTGCCAATATGAGATTTTTTAGAAATTTAATGATGTCCATATCTATATAGTCGAACAAAATAATGAAAAGTTATTTTTTGTGGAAGTTTAGTTGTACAATGTATATGAAATATACATTTTTTTTTATAGAGGCTTACCTTTACATATGACTCATGATTTGAAAGCTTAAATATTTCTTATGCCATTCACTACTTCATTAAACTATGTGGCTTACTTTTCTTGATTTTTTTTTTTAATTTTCTGATTAAATGAGGTAATTGATATGATTAATTATTGTACAATTACAAACCAATCAATAAACTAAAACAGTAACACAACACACTTCTTGGTATGCTACTATTTGGCAAAGCTAGTTTTGTCTAACAAATAATTTTATTAGGAAGATAATACAAAATCTAGAGTCATTATTTTAGAACGAGAAACTTATACATAATTGAAAATCTACGGGATTCGTAATTTTATTCTGATGCATGATCCGAAACTTCTATGATTATGCGTTTATTTTTTAGGAGAAACAGAAGTTGCAGTTTGCGTGCGTATATAAGCTTGGTAAAAAGCAAGCAACTCATCAATTCTTGGAGGTAAATATTCCTTGACTTGACTGCAATTAATATACGCATCTCTCCAAGCACAAAAATTTGGAAAATTTTCATTTGTTGCTAATACAACTCCAGATGCTTCTTGGAAAACTCCCATCCAAAGTCCCACCAAATTTGCAGCTATATCAACAAATCCAAATTTGTCACCAACAAACAACTTCTTGTCCTTGAGCTCTTTCTCAAGAACTTTCAACATCTCACAAACTTCCTCTTTACCTTTCTCTTGCTCATTTCCTTTGCCTAAGAATGCATTTACCACCGCTACCACCTACAAAGTACACACTCAAACAATATACTGCGTCTCAATCTCAAACAAGTCAGAATCTACTATTTAATAAATATATTTTTTCTCATTAACAATGTTACTATATACAAAATTATGAGACGTATTCCAAACTCTATATTTTGTATATGATATAATTATGTAAATAGGAATACATAGAATGGAGAAAAATTTACCTTATTATCAAAGAACTTAGCCCAAAAACGAGCTAAAGCTCGATCATAAGGGTCTTTAGGCAAAATGGAAGGGCCTTTAAATGTCTCGTCAATGTATTCAAGAATGACCATAGACTCACAAATGGGCTTGCCATTGTGAATTAGAACTGGGACTTTCTTGTGAATTGGGTTTGATTGAAGAAGTAAAAGACTCTTGTTATGTGGATCTTCTTCAATATATTCATATTTGACGCCCTTAATCTTTAAAGCCCACTCAACTCTGTGACTAAATGCGCTATACCAAAAACCTAGCAACTTCACTTGTGCCATGTCACAACTTTGGTTATTATGCTAATTTACTATGGTTCTGTCTTGAATTATGATCTTTTATAAAAGGAAAAAAATCGATCTTAGGTAGTGGTTGAAGGTTCCTAAATTTTCTATTTTTTATTCAAGAAAATCGTCATATATTTTATCTGCCTTTACTTGGGATCAAACGTTGCGTAACACTTAAACAAATGCTTATTAAATTAATTCATGTTTGTTCAAGATACTTAATGGCATACGTAACCACTTAGCTAACAATTTACCAAATACTTTAGTCATGTATTTGCTTAGTTCTTATTCCCTTTTAGTTTCAGTAATATTACTAACAATATCAATGACCAACAAGGGTTGTGGTGGAGTGATAAGTACTCTTTCATTCTTAATCAAGAGGTCTCGGGTTTGAGCCCCTTGGATACGAAATCGCCTTTGTTAGGGAGCGCTTCACCCCCAATGTGGCACTTCTCGGTGCTAATCTGACACACCCCAAAACCAGATGTGATGGCACATGCCCAAACCCCACCGGACACGTCAGCCTAACACCCAAAAACCCGACGATACAGAATTTATAAAACAAGAATAAGGCAGAAAGATAAGCGGAAGTCTTTAAATAAACTCAACATAACCCCAGAATTGGTTGTCACATGTACAAACCTTTAATACAGAATCTGAATAAAATATACAAGTCTCATAGTAAAGTTCTAGAATAGAACAAAACAGTAAATATAGATAACTTGAGGGCACGTCTGGAATGAACCGCTACCTCTCAAGTAAGTCTGGAAGCTCTAATTTGAAGATGAGTAATAAGCCGGATCTGATAGAGCTGTCAACCTACACAACTGTGTAGAAGCAAACGTGAGTACCAAAAGCAACAGGTACTCGCAAGTAACACAAAACTAAGCTAAACTAGCAGCTACAAACAACTCCTTTCAATCCCAACCGAACCACCGAAACTTCATTCTAACAGCGAACCAACAACCTATACTACAAAATTCATAATCAACAGATATATCCAACAGTATCTCAACATCAACCTCATATCCTCATATAAGAGCAAATAGATCATATATCACATGAAGAGGAGCAAGTAGGTAAAATCCACACACCACAGACAAAGATGAAGTCAAATGCGATGCAAATGCAATAATAATGTCATGTAGTCATGATGCATGTCTGTCCTAAGATACACATCTGTTGACGTAATCAGACCGCGCTGAATACTCAAATCAGAACACATGGGGCCCACACATGGACCATGTATCACCGCCGGAACCAGATCCCATCGGCATCCAAATCGCTAGCCGGAGCTAGTCCATCTCATATATCTCTAGCCGGAGCTAGTCTCAACTGTGTCTCATATCCATCCATCCTCATATCAGTGTCTCAGAACTCATGCAACAGATAGTTCACACATGGGATGAATAATGAATATGCACATGTCATCAATCACAATCATATCACGATCACATCATAATATTACACATCATCTGTCTCAACATCAATGTCTGTATCAATCATAGCCTACTCATGCTCTTCTATCCCCTCAATATCAGTTATCACATGACTTATTCAACAAATTCAAGTCACATATAACACATTTAGCTCGTTTTATTCCCCATCTTTCAATTACAACAATTTCAATCAACAAATAAAACTCATCCTCAATCCCCATTACTCCCCAACACAATTAGGAAAGTAGTCATGCGTAGTCTAAGAGTTTTACAAAGTTTGGAAGCCACTTGCCTTAAAACGAACTCCAAAAGTTACTTGACTTGAGCCCTTTCCTTTCCGAGTATAATCCGGATCACGATAATCTATTCAAACAATTATTCACAATCACAATTCGAGTCCAATGACACCAAAATCAAGAAATTTAGGGAAAAAGGGCAAAACGGTCCAAAAGTCTCATACCGAAAAACGATACCCAAATCTGGATGATTTTCGAGCTCTCAAAGTCTAAAAATGGAGAAATGGGTATTTTCAAGTTGTGGGAAAAATAGCTACTGATTTTGACTTTAAAAAGGAAAAAAAACTGTTGTTGCAGCTGAAACACAGCAATAACACCAAAGTTTAAGTCCCCGTTGGACCCTCGGGATTCGTTCGGAATCTCGTGCACACAAACTAAATATGTACCCCCACTAAATTTGATGTTCTGGACTCAATGGAACCGTCGGAATTTGAATTCGAGGGCTCCTTGACCTGAAATTCAATAAGATGCCAAGAAACTAGTTTAACGCCTAAAAAAAATTCAAAACTCAAATGGAGAGTCTAAAAATTCAACCAAGGCTCATATGTTGACCAAAGTCAACTCTTTATCAAAATTTCACAACTTTAGCAACTTAGGACTTCAATTCTTCGTTTCAACTCCAAATTCTACTCCGTAACTTCACACAGACCCGTTTTGACATTTTAAAACTGCCGGGATCGACGGAAATACGATCCGAGTCTCGAAACTCCAAATGACTCGAAAAAAACACTTTTTAACCAACTTTAACTCATAAACACTCAACTTCTCAAAAACTCAACTTTTTACCAACTTTTCCTCAAACCAACTTTACAACCACAAAACATGGGACTCGGGACAACTACCGAAAGGGCAAAATAGTCATTTCCACGAAAAATTACCAAAATGACCTTTCGGGTCATTACATAATCCGGATTCAATCAAGCTCTTTTTGCAATGTTAACTAACATATATTTGCCCCCTTCCCTTTGTTACAATGAATCAAGTTCAATAATTACACCTGACATTAATCCTTCTTTACTCTATCTTGACTCTAATAACCTGTTTTGATTGATTTAAAAGTTGGTTAAGTATATTTTTAAGTTACTTTTAACTTTTGAGAGTGTTTGATAAATTTAAAAATATCCTAAAATGACTTGAATAGGACTCTCCCTACTTTTTATTTTTCGACTTAAAAGTCATTTCATTTTGACTAAAAATAACGTATATTTTAAAAGCTACTTTTTAAAAGTCAATCTCGATAAGTCCAAGCCAAAACAAGCAAAAATAAGCTAAAAGTCATGAGTTAAAGTTTCGAACTTATAACTTTTGGACTATAATAAACAACCCCAAGTGGAAAGGAGGAAATATAAAAGCACTTAAGCGTTACTTTTTGACTCATCATTCACTCAAAGATCGTCTTATGCGTGATGCGTACTTTAGAAACTTCCTTATATTTATACCAAAAAGAAATATGACTTTTGACCTCCACATATATTGTAGTACACAAACACAAGTTGCAAATGCAAAATCAACTACCAAATGTAATGAAATTAAAGAAGAAAAAATACATATGCTTGGCCAACAAGAAATTTTCAAAATTTCTCAAGACTATAAGAAAAAGAACAAATCAGAAGACTAAACCAAACCATTATTTTAAAAAATATTCTTCAATACAAAAATATGGTAGATCAAGTTAGGTTGCTTGGTGTTAGTGGTAGTTCTTATAGTCGTAGAGTTGAATGGGCTTTGAGAGTTAAAGGAGTGAAATATGAATTTATAGAAGTAGATCTACAAAACAAGAGTTCTCTACTTCTTGAATCAAATCCCGTCCTTAAGAAAATCCCAGTACTAATTCACAATGGAAATCCCATTTGTGAGTCTATAGTAATTGTTGAATACATTGATGAGACATTTGAAGGTCCTTCCATCTTGCCTAAAGACCCTTATGATCGAGCTATTGCACGTTTTTGGGCTAAGTTCCTTGATGGAAAGGTGAGTTGTTATACGTAGTAATCAATCAAATTATTTTATAATTCATTGTTACAATAGGTAAAACTCCACTACATCAATCTAATAAAAAAATTATAACTTAATTATTAGTATTACAAAGCATATACTAGTTCAGTAATCATACGTGAAATTAATTAACGTTTCTTTGTGGTTTTAAGTGCTTGGAAGCAGTAGGAAAAGCTCTATGGTGCAAAGGAGAGGAACAAGAGAAAAACATACAAGAAGAAGCTTATGAGATGCTGAAAATTGTTGACAATGAACTTAAGGACAAGAAGTTTTTTAGTGGAGATAAAATTGGATTTGTTGATGTTGCTGCAAATTACATCCCATTTTGGGTTGAAATTGTTGAAGAGGCTACTGGAAATGTGTTGATTACAAGTGAAAAGTTTCCTAATTTGTGTGCTTGGATAGATGAGTATCTTAAGTGTAGTGAAGTTCAAGAAAATCTTCCTGATAGAGATATGATGCTTAGTTTTTTTAAAGCTAAAGCACTAGCTGAAATTACAGCTAAATGAAGATTTGTCTAACTGATTGAGTAAAATTTTAAGATATCTTGTGTTTGAAATAAAACTCTTAAGTCATAGGAACCTAGCTAGCTTAATTTTCTCAATTTTGGTGATTTTTTTTTTGTGTTGAGGCAAGGAGACCCTATGTTCTCTAGCTTGTTCGTAATTGTTTACAAGAAAAAAATGATATAGTTGAATTTGTTATGAGATTAAAGACATGTGTATCGATTTAACTCGTTAATTAGTGTATTAGCAATTAAATTTATTAATAAATGAGCTTAATAAGAAAAGTAATGAAGCAAAGAAAAATAAATGAAACAATGGAGCTTGGTTGCTTGATGTTTTAGCCAAATAATTGTCTAGAATTCAATCTAATATATCAATCAATAGAAAAACTCCACTCGGACCCTAAAGTACTATGTCCAATAGAAACGCTCCAGCTGAAAATACTGTTACTTGTACTAGTGCTAGCTAATATTCCTCTATAAGTTGCAAAATATCGTCTAAATATATTTATGACGTATCTATCCTTTTGTCCTTTTATCCTATCTTTGGGACATAGGTCCTTTTGTTGACTTCAAACTATGAGTTCCCATCTTATAAATAGGCCAGTCATCAATTCGAACACTTCAATCAATGAAACCTTTATGGTCACTCTTCCTCTATCCTCTGTGCCACACCATCATCGAACCTCATCCTAATGCCATATGTTCATTCTGCATGCAACCAAGCGCATACCCTGTGCTTTTCTTAGCTTTAGGGCTTGAACGCGCCTTAAAGAAAGGAGCACTTCGACAACTTAGATATATCATTGCATCTACATATTTGAGTGTGGTAGATCTTTATTAGTCGAATAGAACCTTCTACTCAATTTTTTACCAACAGTACTTATTAAAAGTGAAACAGTCAATATGGAAAATTGACTTGTCAAAGAAGAAAAGTACCATTTGCTTGGTTACCAAGACACTTCCTTTTTTTACCTTCTATAAAAAGAAGAACAAAATTCAAAAAATCAAAACCACAATATAAAATTCCTAAACATAGTAAAGCACAAAAACAGAGAATAAAAGTTGTGAGATGGCAGATGTTAAGTTGCTTGGTCTATGGTATAGCCCTTTTAGTCACAGAGTTGAATGGGCTCTCAAGATTAAGGGAGTCAAATATGAATTTATAGAACAAGATCTACAAAACAAGAGCCCTTTGCTTCTTGAATCGAACCCTGTTTACAAAAAAATACCCGTTCTCATTCACAACGGCAAGTCCATTTGTGAGTCTACGGTAATTGTTGAATACATCGACGAGATGTTTAAAGGCCCTTCTATTTTGCCTAAAGACCCTTATGATCGTGCTATAGCTCGTTTTTGGGCTAAGTTTTTTTGCTGAAAAGGTATATTTTAGTCGTATTAGTATGTTTATACCTATGTTCTTCTTTTTTTTAAGGCAAAATTCTTGTGTTTTTTATTGGGAAAATGCATAAGTAGCCCCAACCTATGCTCGAAATTTTAGAGACACACTTATGATATACTAAGGTCCCATTACCCCAAACTTATTTTATAAATAATTTTCTACCCCTTTTCGGCCTACGTGGCATTGTCAACGAAAAAATTGTCAACACGCGCTGGGCCCAGAAAATAGTGCCACGTAGGCCGAAAAGGAGTAGAAAATTATTTATAAAATAAGTTCGGGGTAATAGAACCTTAGTATAGTATAAGTGATTGGGGCTAATTATGCATTTTCCCTTTTTTATTTGTATAATATTGGACTTAGAGTTTGACATGAGCATATAACTGATTCCAACTTGCTTAAACTTAATTCCGATATACAGAAATAAGTAAAATTGTTATTGATACTTAACTTTTGAGTGTTTTAATTAGTAGGGGCCAGCAGTGGGGAGAAGTTTCTTTCTCAAAGGAGAGGAGCAAGACAAAGCTAAAGAGGAAGTTTATGAGATGTTGAAAGTTCTTGATAATGAGTTAAAGGATAATAAAAAGTACTTTGTTGGTGACAACTTTGGATTTGTTGATATTGTTGCAAATGCTGCAGCACTTTGGCTTGGAGTTCTTGAAGAAGCATCTGGAGTTGTTTTAGTCACAAGTGAAAAATTTCCAAATTTTTGTGCTTGGAGAGATGAATACATTAATTGCATTACCTTCAAGAGATGAGTTGCTTGCCAAATTGAAAGCTCGCTTTCAAGTTGCATCAGTTGCCAAATAAATTTAGGAGTTTAATTGAATTACTCTACTGGTTCGAACTATGTATTATACAATAACAATAACATATCAGTGTTATTCTATATTCTAACTATGTATACATTAGAAAAAAAATATATTAAGATATATGTAGTTATAAATCGAGCTTGAGTTTGCGTTTGAATAAAATTATGAAGCTAGCTTGTTTATTCTATTGAGTTAATGGATACTTATCCGTTGATTTATCGATCACACTAATATCTAATACTAATTATTTTAGACTATAAGTTTCGAAAATCTTTTCTTTTAAACATCGTGCCAAATCAAACACAGCCTTCAGGCTTCAACCACTACCACTTATTTTTACAACTTAAAAGTCTTCCGTCAATATACATCATTAAATTAGAAAATTGACTTTGTCAAAAGAAGAAAAATTGTCTTTGCTTTGTTATAAAGAAACTTGTTCATTTTTCCCTCTATAAAAGAAGACCAAATCATTAGAACCAACACATAAAATTCATCAACATATTAAAAAAAAAATACATAGTAGAACAATAATTGTGTGATGGAAGAAGTGAAGTTGCTTGGTCTATGGTATAGTCCTTTTTGTCACAGAGTTGAGTGGGCTTTAAAAATTAAGGGTGTGAAATGTGAATTTATAGAAGAAAATTTACAAAATAAGAGTCCTCTACTTCTTGAATCAAACCCAATTCACAAGAAAATTCCAGTGTTAATTCACAATGGAAAGTCCATTTGTGAATCAATGGTAATTGTTGAATACATTGATGAGACATTTGAAGGCCCTCCCATCTTGCCTAACGACCCTTATGATCGTGCTATGGCTCGTTTTTGGGTTAAGTTTTTCGAAGATAAGGTATATTCTTTTTACTTCCTCTGTCCATTTTTACTTGTCCAGTATACTATTTTGAGATGTTTAATAATACTTGTCTATAGTTTATAAAATCACTGAATAATTTATCATGTTGTGTTTATTTTATCCTTACTATTAAATACCATTCCCTTCATCCCATTTTATGAGAGGTAGTTTGACTCGGCACATAGTTTTAGAAAGAAATGAAGATTTTTAAGACTTATGGTCTAAAATGAAAGATAGAAATTTGTGTGACTATAAATTATTTCATTAAGGGTAAAACAAACATTTTAAAGTTGAATTGTTACTTAATATAAAAATGTGTCATTATTTTTGGAACTGACTAAAAAGGAAAGTAAATCATATAAATTGGAACAGAGAGAGTATTTATGTTTTATGTTTAGATGACTTATATTTAATAAGGGTGGTTTGATAAAATTACCCCTATCATTTATCGTTTCTTAATTTTTGTGTCAAATCAATAATAGATAAATATCGTTAGACAGAGGAGTATTGAGTATCATTTTGCAGGGGTCAGCAGTTGGGACAAGTTTCTTTCACAAATCAGAGAAAGCTAAAGAGGAAGTTTGTGAGATGTTGAAAATTCTTGATAATGAGTTAAAGGATAAGAAGTTTTTTGTTGGTGACAAATTTGGATTAGCTGATATTGCTGCTAATTTTCTTGCACTTTGGATGGGAATTCTTGAAGAAGCAACTGGAATTATTTTGGTAACAAAAGAAAAATACCCAAATTTTTATGCTTGGAGAGATGAATACATTAATGGGAACAAAGAATATTTACCTTCAAGAGATGAGTTGCTTGCTTTTTTCAAAGCTCGCTTTCAAGCTGCTGCAACACCTCCTTATTCGAATTGATTTCTCGTATGATCACTTGATTAATAGTTATAATTACAAAGAAAATTATTTTGCTTTATCGAAGAACATTGATTTTCTGGAATAATAACTAGTTAGTTAAGTATTTGAGAAATCAATCCTATTTATTCATCTTTGAAAATTCAAGATTTTGTGTGGCAATAAAAGTTGGGGTGAATTTAGAGAGTGTTTTGTGGGTTCAAATAGATTATAAGTATTAGTTCGAACTACGTATACGAAAAAGAAATCAAACTATTCGCATATAGATTTTATAATTTTAAACTCTATTACTCTAAATTTGACTAAAATTTACTTTGTCAAAAAAGGGCATCTTTGCTATTCACATTGTACCAGGAACTAGGATGAATATGATACGATAGATATTGGATAATATATTAATATTTGGAATTTTTTATATCACGACTTTGATATTATTGTATTTAGTAGACATTTTTAAAAAATTGATATTTGGTAGGGTGTTTGATATTATTTATAAAAGAAATTATCAAAATACTAAATATCATATCAAAGTGTATAATTATGTATATATATAATTCATATGTGTTATTATAATACTTTCTCCATTTCAAAATAATTAAATTGTTGGGTGTTTTATACCCTTTAAGAAAAAAAGATTAAGACATAAATTAGACATTACTTTCCATTTTTGCTCTTATTAATTCTTGTCAAATTAATCTTTAAAATAATTTTAAAAACAATTAAAGTTTCTTGAACTTATCACATAGAATATTCAAATGAAGGGTAGAAATGAAAGAATATTTTAAAAGTAATCTTGAAGATTAAATAATTAAATTAATTTAAAATATAAAAAATGTCTCAACAATTCATATTTTAAAACGAAGGCAATACTAATCAAATATATATTTAATACAAAATTTATTGTTTGGACATTTGAAACTTTGACTATTCTATTTCTATTCGAAAGTTTCAACTCTTTTGCCGGTGGGTCAGTAATTGCATATTAATTAATCATAGCAAGCGACGAGATTTGACCAAAAAGTGGGTGACATTAGCACATAAGTCATCTTTGTTAGTATTGTATTGCTCACTCCTAAAAGAATAAGAAATAAGACAGTGTTTATTAACTTATCTTAATTAATTTTTTAAGAAAGAATTAGCCTTTTAAGAATTTTTTAGTTATATAAAACCTTATAACAATAATAACAACATATTTAGTCTACATAATTCTATAAAGTAATATCTGAAAGATAGAGTGTACACGTACCTTTTCTTTACCTATATACGTATTATAATAAACAAATTGTTTCTAATAGACCATCGACTTAAAAAAATAATCAAACCAGATTGAATTTTTCTATATATAAAACTCCTATTTTTTCTAAATAAGAACAAAATTGAAAGAAGAAAATGCTTCTTCATTGTGTGAAAGACCATATTAAACTAAAAACACAGTTGCAGATTATTTTTCTTAAAATTTAGTTTACTAACAAAAAAAGTAAATATGCACCATTGCATTAGATAACGAGAATATATATATGCACCATTTGTTAAACGGATAGAATAAATATGAGTACTCTTTTAACAAGTGGCATGTCATTCTAAATAGCAAGATTAAAGAGATATATTCTCTTTTTCTTCTTAATTTATTTCAAGTGCCATGAATGTGAAAGCATAATTAGATTACTGAACAAAATAGTCAAAAAGGAAACATTAATTTATTTGGTAGATTGCTAAGAACTTCCCTGCTTTTCCCTCTATTGAGTTGTACATTCTGTATTAGTACACTCGTTAATTAGCTTGTAGTTAATTAGTTTGTACAGTCCGTCAGTCAAGTTGTTAATTAGTTTGTTACACTTTCCACTAGTTTGTTAATTAGTTTGTTACACTTTTTCCTCTGTATATATAACTCTGATAGGTTGAATAGAACTTTAACTTTCCATTTCACAAATAACCGTTTCTCTGAATTCTCTCTCTGTATTGATATGGCGGAAGCCTCCATTGTTGTATCTCAAGTTCACTAAGTTTTACATGGTATCAGAGCCATCTCGATCTAGAGACACTCGTTCCTTTCTTATTCTGTTTTTTTCTTCTCGACCTTTCATTGATTGCGCACCTGTAACAATCAACTATGGCGATTGGTAATACCTCTGATTCTACTGAAATTGGTACTGGAATTGGTAATGGAGATAACACTTCTGCTCCGACTCCGATCGATTCGAACAATCCCCTGTATATGCATCCATCTGATAATCCTGGTGCGATGCTTGTACCAGTACAGTTCACTGGACTTGGTTATCGTTCATGGAGGCGTAGTGTTTTGCGATCACTGTCTGTGAAAAATAAATTAGGATTCATTACTGGTGAATGTTTACGTCCTAGATCTGATCACCATACCTACAGACTATGGGAGAGGTGTGACGATATTGTTACGTCATGGATTTTGAATTCATTGTCCAAGGAGATTGCAGATAGCGTTGAATATGTTCAGAATTCTGCTGAGCTCTGGAAAGAGTTGGAGGATAGATACGAGCAGACGAATGGAGCAAAATTGTATCAAATTCAGCGGGAAATCAATGATTTGTCTCAGGGATCCCTCGACATCACAACTTACTACACAAAGTTGAAGAAACTATGGGAGGAACTTAGCACTTTGAATGCCAAAACTTAATGTACTTGCAGCTACATTTGTGGAGCAAAAGAAAGTGTTTACAAGGGTGAACAGGATAGAAGATTAGTTCAATTCCTAATGGGACTCAATGAGATTTATACAGCAATACGCGGCAGTATACTTATGATGAATCCACTACCCTCCATGGCACAAGCATTTTCTCTGTTAGTTCAGGATGAACACCAAAGAGAGATCAAACCTTCAAATCATCTTACTCTAGATTCGACTGCTTTGCATGCTGGGACTGATAAGCCCACACACTATAAAACCAATTACTCCACCAACAATTTGAAGTATAAGGACAGGTTTTGTAATTACTGTAAGAGAACTGGCCATCTAATGGAAAAATGCTATCAACTTCATGGTTATCCACCTGGTCATCTGCTCCATGGTTCTTCACCTGGTCATATTAACAACAGTCAAAACTCCAATTTCAATCTTAACCAAAACAGGAACAGTCAATCAGCTCAAAGGTCTAACACAACTAGAGCACCTGCACGATTCAATCAATACCCTCACACACCTGGTTATGGTAGAGGAAATGGGGGTAAGGCAGTGGCAAATGCTAACTGTGCAGCTGATCTAAACATTGGGAAGGGACTAACGACAAGTACTACAGGTGAAGAAATGTTCAATGTGAATCTTACAAAGGAAGAATATGGTCATCTCCAGGCTGCACTCCATCATTTCCAGAAGGATTATGATGCTGAGTGTCCCCCCACCAATCAAGCTTTTGCCAATGGTACAGTTGATTTTGCAGGTACAATAATTTGCACTTCTTCTATGGATTCTAGCAAACTGTCTTGTGCATGTTTCAAAAACAAGTCTGACTCGTGGATATTAGACTCAGGAGCTTCGAACCATATGACTTTCAACATTTCCCTCTTACACAATGTTACCACCCTTCCCTATCCAGTCCTAGTAGATTTACCAAATGGCTATAAAGTTAAGGTGACTCAGATTGGAAGTGTAGCATTAGGACCCATGATTAGCCTAGAAAAAGTCTTGTTTGTGCCATCTTTCAAGTACAATCTGATTTCTATTAATGCCATGAGCATGCAGTCCCACTGCACTATCAGTTTCACTAAAACTTCATGTGTTATGCAGGCCCCTTCAATGAAGAGGCCTCTGGTCATTGGTAGGGCAGAAGCTGGACTCTACTTCCTTTGTCCCAATTGCTTGAAGACTCTCAATTCTTCTTCTTTGAGTAGTATTTCTTCATGTTGCATTTTTCCTTCATGTAATGCTTGTAATAGTAGTCGTTCTTTTCCTGCATCAAATAGTATGAAATGTACTTCTTTTCTTAACAAACAGAATTCTTGTTTGAATGTTGAAAATTTTCCTACTGTCCCTCTACTGCATTCTCCTATTTTCTCTCACACATGCACTGGAAATAATGTAAATGTTGTGTGGCACAATCGATTGGGACATGTTCCTTTTGTCAAAATGAAAAGTATTTCCACTATCCCCATCACCTTTTCCTCCAAACAACCATTCATGTGCTCTATTTGCCCTATGGCAAGGCAAGAAAGATTGCCTTTCAAGCCAAGAACCAGCATAAGCTCACAGTTGTTTGAACTAGTACATGTTGACCTATGGGGACCCTATCACATAGCCACACATAACCACTTCAAATACTTCATCACCATTGTGGATGATTTTAGTAGATCCACTTGGACTCAACTCTTAAGTTCCAAAAGTAATGCCCTGCAAACCCTTAAGGCTTTTATTGCCATGGTGGAAAATCAATTCCAAACTACTGTTAAAACAGTTAGGACAGACAATGGTCTGGAGTTTGTCAACACAGAAACAACCATTTTTTTTCAAACCAAAGGCATCATCCATCAGAAAACTTGCCCATATACACCCCAACAAAATGGTGTAGTGGAGAGAAAACATAAACATTTACTTGAGACTGCCAGGGCACTCTTGTTTCAATCCAAACTACCTACAAAATATTGGGGGGAGTGTGTACTTTGTGCTACTTATATAATAAATAGACTTCCATCTCGAATATTGAACAATAAATGCTCCCATGAACTGCTATATAACAAAAAGCCTTTATATTCCCATATGAGGAGTTTTGGTTGCCTTTGTTATCCCACCACACCTATCCCTCATAGAACAAAATTTGACCCCAGAACTACACCACATATTTTCATTGGTTATCCTTTTGAGACAAAAGGGTACAAGGTCCTAAACTTGTCCACACACAAAATACATGTATCTAGGGATGTTGTTTTTCATGAAACTGTTTTTCCTTTTCATTTATCATCTACTGCTTTTTCACCTCCCTCATTTTTAGAGTTTCCTCCTTTCATTGACTTTCTGAATGACTCAAATCAGCATGACACACAAGACACTCTAGTTAATCTGGATAAACCTAATGGTACATGCAATCTGCCTCCTGCGACTCTTGTCCATTCTTCTACTGACGGACTGTACAAACTAATTAACTACAAGCTAATTAACGAGTGTACTAATACAGAATGTACAACTCAATAAACTCATCATACTATTACAATAATAATAATAATGCTAGTTACTATGCGTCAATCTCAAGCAAGTTTTGTTTGACTATGAATTTTCAGTATCCATGTCGTGACACCATTTAAACCTTGTTATAACATGTGTACTTTTCTTGTTATACAACTGTTTTGAACAGAATCTTTTCGATATTTTGGCACTTGTGATATCATATCCTTGCCACACTGCTTGTAATTTTGAAAAATCAAGTAACTTCTCATCTTTGTTACAAAAATAGAAAGATCTTGAAGAATATGAACATAGTAACTCTTGTTATCAAGAGCTTACGCAATTCGCCTTGACAAACGTTCATATATTTGAGAAATATTATGCTACTAATTGCCTTCAAATCGCATAGAAAATTTATAAAAGAGGAATAAAGAGAATACACAAAATTGTACTCACAATCTAGATGATAATTAAATCACGTCTATTTATTCATTTTGTGATCGTAATTTATTTTTCGATCATTTTTGTTTTTGATATCTGCATATATGTTTTAACTGTTTTTATTTTATTTTATGTAAATGACCATAATAACTGAAGAGAACATAAATTTCCAACAACATTATTTGTAAAAGTTGTATCATAATTATATTTTTAAAATTTATGTAATAACATTCTTATATCATATTTGTATTTTTTGAGAAGTTACACTTTTTTTAGAAGGCACGTGTCCAGTGCTATTAACCATTATACATTAATGTTAGGTCCAACAAGATTAGAAAGAGCATGTCTTATGTGAGACTCAGAATATGACATGTAATTTGATGGATGTTCTCCTATGTAATCAATCAGATTTGTCATCATCATGGAGACTCTTACTGCTGCTTCAAATTACTGAATCATATAGATTATGTATCGACTATTATATCCATGTTCAATTCATTCATACCCTAAAATTCAATACACCTATCCCCAACTATCAAATTTGCCCTAATGATTTCAAGTTGATTATTTAAATTTGAATTCTATTGCATCTCTGCAAAACATAACAAAATACAACTTAAAAGAATACATATTTTCAACCATTAAATAAGAAGTATATAACCAAAAAAACACTATGTTATGTTAAATAAATCTCAGCTATCGGAAGACACACTTACCCCAACGTTTAGTTGATTTCTTTCTACTCTTTCTTGGTGGTGTCCGAGAAGTGCATACCTCGCTGGCCAAAGACAAGGTATAGAAAACCTTTTTTTGAAGGTTTGGTTTGCATATATTTGTTTGGGGAAAAAATGTGGGCGCCCATTATAAAACATGATGCATAACAACAAATTTTAAATTGATAGCTCCAAAATATAACATAGTGATTACTAAAAAAAAGATTAAATTATGATATTGATAAATCATGTTAAGGACAATTATCTGAGAAGTTGAAATATCAGCAACAACAAATAAAGCAAGAAGAAGAAGGGAGGCTTGAATTGAGTTTACATTTTCAAAATCATAATAGCCTATTTATAATTGGGTGAAAATCATTTATATCAGCGAGTTTGATTAAAGAATCTCAATAAACTTAGTTGTCTAAAATAAAATTTTAATAAGAGTATATACACAGTTCAACAATAAATATATGTTTTTGTTTTAAAAAAAGAAAAACGATTGGTTTTTAAGAGTCGCCACTTAACTTTTAAAGGAAAATCAAGAAAACTATTTTTTTCAAAAGATTAAAACAGAAATCGATTGAAAATAATAAGGGGGGTTCGGGGTTCATATTAACATTTCAGGAAGGGTTTGAAAGCACCCGAAATACCCGCTAACATGCAGTTATTCGATAATTAACTATTTGGCTAAATATAAACATGCTTAATTACCACTTCAATGCAACCTGTACTTTCCCCTATTCACCCTGAACCTGAACCTAGAAGATCCCTTAGGAGGCCCAAGACTCCATCTCATATGAATGACTATGTCCATTCCATCCCACAACTTAAGTCCCCTACTACACTAGTTGTTGACACAGCTTCCACTTCCAACGCCTCTTCCCTTAAGGCCCTTTTTTCTAATCATCACCACTTAGCTCATACTGATCTAATTCCTAATAGTCAAGATTTTGTGAGAAATGTTTGCCTTGACAGGGAGCCAACATCATATAAAGAAGCTGTTATTGATCCTGCATGGCAAGTGGCCATGACACAAGAGTCCTCTATAAAAGAATTTACCTCAAGGGAGAAGAAAACAACTTAAAAATTCCTTCAATTAGTAAAGCAAAAGCATAGTTAACTAAAGTTGAGAGATGGCAGATGTTAAGTTGCTTGGTTTATGGTATAGCCCTTTTAGTCATAGAGTTGAATGGGCTCTCAAAATAAAGGGAGTGAAATATGAATTTATAGAAGAAGATCTACAAAATAAGAGTCCTCTACTTCTTGAATCCAATCCAATTCACAAGAAAATTCCTGTGCTTATTCATAATGGCAAGCCTATTTGTGAGTCAATTGTCATTCTTGAATACATTGATGAGGCATTTGAAGGTCCTTCCATCTTGCCTAAAGACCCTTATGATCGAGCTTTAGCTCGATTTTGGGTAAAGTTTTTTGAAGATAAGGTATATTTTTTTCTCATGGTATGTAAGTCTATTAATTGGAAATACTTTTGAGTCACATAAGTGGAGACATTTACTTTAGGTATTAACTCGTCTTAATTGTGTCAATTGGATAGTACTCCAACCTATAATATGATCATCTAGATACCTTCAAAAATTATGTGTCAACGAGACATATTAGTGGGGAAGAGTTGGAGTGTTTAACTATCAGTTAAGACTAAATTAATATGTCTTGAGACTAAATTAAATAATTAATATGTCTGGATATATACTTTTCAAAATTAAAGTGCTTACTTACCAGCCGAAACTAAATTTGAATGTTTTGTTTATGTATCATGCCCTATTTTAAAATTGAACTAAATGAAGTAATATAACTTCATTTAGGCAACAACAACTAATGACTTTTATTGTTATTGACTATTGTATATATTCCTATTTTTAAAATTGAGTATACACTATTATTGTTATGTAGGGTCCAACAATGAGGAAAAGTATTTTTCTCAAAGGAGAGGAGCAAGAGAAAGCTAAAGAGGAAGTTTTTTGAGATGTTGAGAATTCTTGATAATGAGCTCAAAGACAAGAAGTACTTTGTTGGTGACAAATTTGGATTTGTTGATATTGTTGCAAATTCTGGGGCACTTTGGCTGGGAGTTCTTGAAGAAGTATCTGGAGTTGTTTTAGTGACAAGTGAGAAATTTCCAAATTTTTGTGCTTGGAGAGATGAATATTGCATACAAAACAAGGAATATTTACCTTCAAGAGATGAATTACTTGTTCGTTACCAAGCCTATATTCAGCCTGTTATTGCTTCAAAATGAGTACAACTCAAGTGAATTTCAATATTTTGTGTAACAATAAAAGTTAGATATGGATTTATGATCAGTTTTTGTTAATTTAATTGAAGGTTGATTTTGAATTGAACTAGTGGTATTTAACAAAAAAAAATGCATGTTATAAGATTTATCTTTATTTCATTTAATTAGTTAATATAAATCTTGGATTCACTTATGAATAAAAGTATTTGTTTGAGTAAGTTAGCAAGAAATTTAAAAGAGTAAAATGTCAGCATCTAGACCCTATCCCAAATGTCATCCTCGAGTTTCCACGAGACACTACAGTCTACAAGGATGCAAGTTTGAAGTGTTTAGTTGTCTGTTAATACCAAGTTAAGATGTTTAGATATGCATTGTCAAAATTGAAGAATTTACTTGCCAGCTATGACCAAGTTTGAGTGTAGATTTAAGTATCATCTCAACTGAAAAAAAAAACAATCTCAATCATAAAATGAATTTGGATCGTGTCGAGAGAGGTTAAAATTAAAGATGGATAAGATACTTTTAAAAACCACGTAGCATTTTTTAAATTAAACAAAATAGTTTTAGATTACTTTTTTGAAATTAAGTTTGTTAAGAAAAAAGTCAATATGCATGATTTGTTAGATGACAAGGATATATATATATACACTATTTATTTATTAAGGAGGATTATGTGACTAAATCGCAAGGTTAAAAAATATATTTGTCCTTTTCCCCTTTTATTTTAAGTGTCAATGTGGAGGTGGGAGACGTAATTAGATTACAAAATTAAATAGTCAAACAAGAAACAATAATGCATTTGGTGAATTGCTAAGAAACTTCCCTCTATAAAAGAAGACTACACCTCAAGGAAGATCACATCCACATAAAATTAATTCCATCAATTAGTAAAGCAAAAACACAATTAACCAAAGTTGAGATATGGCAGATGTTAAATTGCTTGGTTTATGGTATAGCCCTTTTAGTAAAAGAGTTGAATGGGCTCTAAAGATTAAGGGTGTGGAATATGAATATATAGAAGATGATCTACAAAATAAGAGCCTTTTACTTCTTCAATCCAATCCAATTCACAAGAAAGTTCCTGTGCTCATTCATAATGGCAAGTCCATTTGTGAGTCAAGTGTGATTGTTGAATACATTGATGAGACATTTGAAGGCCCTTCCATCTTGCCTAAAGACCCTTATGATCGAGCTTTAGTTCGTTTTTGGGATAAATTCTTCGAAGATAAGGTATATGGCCTTCAACTTGTAAATAAGCACTTCAACTAAATATAGGCACCTTAACTCGTCTCTACTCTGTTAATTGAACTTTCTAACTTATAATATGATCATGATCTAGACACCTTCAAAATTTGTGTGTCATGTCGGTATAGGGTGTATAAGAGACACATTAGTTGTCTATACATATCAAAGTTAAAGTGCTTATTATCAGATACAACCAATGTATGTTTATGTATTACTTTTTAAAATCGGACTAAGATGAACATAAATTAAGTAATAAAATATCATATAGTCAACTAATGTACTTCTATTGTTGTATATTCCTATCTTTACCATTATACAAAAAGAATTGTTGAAATTTAAGTTCCAATTGTTATGTAGGGGCCATCAATGATGAAAAGTTTATTTCTCAAAGGAGAGGAACAAGAGAAAGCTAAAGAGGAAGTTTATGAGATGTTGAAAATTCTTGATAATGAGTTAAAGGACAAGAAGTTCTTTGTTGGTGACAAATTTGGATTTGTTGATATTGTTGCAAATGCTGTAGCACTTTGGTTTGGAGTTTTTGAAGAAGTAACTGGAGTTGTTTTGGTGACAAAAGAAAAATTCCCTAATTTTTGTGTTTGGAGAGATGAATACTACATTCAAAACAAGGAATATTTACCTCCAAGAGATGAATTGTTTGCCCATTACCAAGCTTACATTCAACGTGTTGCTGCTTCAAAATAAGGGTCTTTACAAAATTCAAAAGATATAAAGAAGAATTTTGAATCTTATAATTAAAGCTGTCAGAAAGGACTTGATCTTTGAAGTCAGCCCAAATCAATATGAGAAAATTAAAATTTTTAGTGCACTTATTTGTAAAAAAAATAAAAAAAATTACTTATGCAGTTTTTGAATACCCTTTGTGAAATTTCTGACTCCGCTACTGCACTTCTCCCCCGATCTTCCTCTTGTTTTCAATTATTAATTCTATATTCATGACACCATGTGATGAATTCTAGGTAGCCCTATAATAAAGATATTGAAAATCATGTTGTTTCTCTCTGGTCTATTTACTCTTCTTGTCTACTTTATTGTATTTCATATTGTTAATTTTTGGCTTCATTTTATAACATACTATTAGCACGAAACTTTAAATTATATCGAGTTAAATTTTAATTTTGCTTATCCACGTAAAAGACAAGATATGTGATTGGCATGTACAATTATGTTTTAGTTAGGCATAATACATAAATATTTTCTTTAATTTGACCTCATTTTATATTGGCATAATACATAAATTGACCCTTTAACTAGGCTTCAACTGTCATATATGTCTTCCAACTTTGAATGTGCACAAGTAGACACTTAAACTTGTATAAAATTGAACAAGCAAACACATGCGTTCTATGTAACATAATAAACGTAAGACACAAAATTGCCATGTAGGACACCACGTTAAACTAATATGTCTATTTGTTCAATTTTATACAAGTTTAAGTGTCTATTTATACACACCCAAAGTTAGAGGATATTGATGCCAACTGAAGTCAAGTTAAATGACATATTTATGTATTGTTTAACGTGGTGTCCTACATGGCAATTTTGTGTCTTACGTTTATTATGTTACATAGAACGCATGTGTTTGCTTGTTCAATTTTATACAAGTTTAAGTGTCTATTTATACACACCCAAAGTTAGAGGATATTGATGCCAACTGAAGTCAAGTTAAATGACATATTTATGTATTATACCTTTTATATTTATGTCCTTTAATTTTGGGTGCGTACAACGTGTAGGTTATCAAATCTGGCATGCTTAGTTTTACTTTTCAAATTGAAATTTGATATTAGAATTGAATTCAGGAAGAATTTTGGAGGTTCAACTAAATTATTTGTATTGGTTCGAAATTTACTTACTTTAAAATTTGAATTCCGTTCGAATAAAATTATTTGTCAGAGAAAAGTATTTTAGCTATTCACTTGCTAAGAAGTTTCACCTTTGGTGGGTCAATGACTGTATATTATTTAATTAATATATATCAATTTTCTCATTAAATTGAAAATGAAAGCTAAAATTAATAGGTGACTCGGAATATTAAAAACTCCCTTCATTTTAATTTATTGTCATGTTTTGGCTTATCCAAAATCTAACCATTTAAAAAGTTTTAAATTTTTGTGTTTTTTTTAAAATTAAAAATATGTCAAATATATTAAAATATATCTTTTAACTTTGTACTAAAAAAACATGTCAAGTGAATATATGAAACTAAAAAATTATCAAAAATAAAAAGAAATATCTTTTTTTAAAACAGATTAGAAATAAAAATAGGACAAATAAATTAAAATATAAGTATCATTGATTTTTCTAGCCACCAGATTTGACCAAAGGTGGGTGACATGAGCACATAAGTCATCTTTATTATTTTAAATATTACTCACTCCTAAAAAATATGGAAGATGTTTACTTTCCTCCGTTCCTAATTATTTGTCCATTTTTTCTTTTTTAGTTATCCTTAATTACTTATTTATTTTGATAAATAAAAAAAGAATAAACAAATTTCTCTATTATACCCTCAATTTATTACTTTAAAAATCTTAAATTTTAAATTTTCAATTCATTCACTTCATAATTAATAAAGGTAAAATAGTAAACTCGTTATATCAATTATTATTTTCTTAATTGGTGTGTCATTCCAAAAGTGGGTAAATAACTAGGGATAGATGGAATAGTAGTTTATTCAAACAAGTGTCTAGTTAGTCAAATATAATTTTTAATATTAGAAAAGTTGAATAGTCAAACAAGAAACTTTAATGTATCCTTATTTTTTCCTCTATAAAAAAAAAACTAGACACCAAGGGAGACCAACCACACATAATTAAGCAAAAAAAACAATTGAGAACTAAAGTTGTAACATGGCAGAAGTGAAGTTGCTTGGTCTAAGTTATAGTCCTTTTAGCCATAGAGTTGAATGGGCTCTAAAAATTAAGGGAGTGAAATATGAATTTATAGAAGAAGATTTGCAAAATAAGAGCCCTTTACTTCTTCAATCTAATCCAATTCACAAAAAAATCCCAGTGTTAATTCACAATGGCAAGTGCATTTGTGAGTCTATGGTCATTCTTGAATACATTGATGAGGCATTTGAAGGCCCTTCCATTTTGCCTAAAGATCCTTATGATCGCGCTTTAGCGCGATTTTGGGCTAAATACGTCGAAGATAAGGTATATTGCTTTTAAGTTATTCCAATTGATTGAAAATTTTGTTTTAGTTATGTTATTACATATACTTTAGGTCTCATGCTTTTTAATAATCTTTTATAAAATTCGACTAAGACGAACTTCTCGTATAGTCAACAAAACTAACATATTTGTCTAGTAGTTGGTTAGGAAATAAGTTATCCGAATATTAAATTCTGGATAAGTAATGAATACCATATTTGATAGTTGATTTGGAGATAAATTATTCGTGTATAAAATTAATATGATATTTGATTTGCAATTTAGAAATACATAACTATTTTATATGCATAGATTCCATTATAACTAATTGATATATTATTAATATCTGTATAACTCTAACCAGCTATCGAAACGAGTGAACGACCCTTATTAAGTTTTGTTTGTTGGGCAGGGGGCAGCAGTGTGGAAAAGTTTCTTTTCGAAAGGAGAGGAACAAGAGAAAGCTAAAGAGGAAGCTTATGAGATGTTGAAAATTCTTGATAATGAGTTCAAGGACAAGAAGTGCTTTGTTGGTGACAAATTTGGATTTGCTGATATTGTTGCAAATGGTGCAGCACTTTATTTGGGAATTCTTGAAGAAGTATCTGGAGTTGTTTTGGTAACAAGTGAAAAATTTCCAAATTTTTGTGCTTGGAGAGATGAATATTGCACACAAAACGAGGAATATTTTCCTTCAAGAGATGAATTGCTTATCCGTTACCGAGCCTACATTCAGCCTGTTGATGCTTCAAAATGAGTATACCTCAAGTGAATTTCAAGATTTTGTGTGGCAATAAAAATTGAGTTTTTGTAAATTCAATTGAAATATATTAAAGTTGCATGTTATAAGATTTATCTTTATTTCACTAGTTAATATAAATTTTGGATTCACGTATAAATAAAAGTATTGTTAAGAGAAAGAAAGCTTGATACACTACTTTTGTCCGAATTAAATTATTTATCTTATTTTAACTTGACACAAAATTTTAAAAAGATAATAATTTAATGTTATCATTGAAGCCGTAAAAAAAAAAAAAAAAAAAACTTGATCGTTGAGGCCAGCTCTACCCACACCATTAATTAGTTAACCTGCCACCCATTAAGTAAGTACTCCATAAATAGTGTGTATAATATAGGGAAATATATATATATGCATTGATTTTATAAAATAATAAATATTAAGAAAGCTCATCTATTTTTAATAACAACAGCAGCATATAAATAGGAACGAGGGGAGTAATAAATAATGCATATTTATCATTTTCATCAACAAACTGAATTAATAAAACTAATCTAAATTAAATGATTACTTCATGTTTATTGGTCAATTAAATCAATTAAAATAAATTAATTTATGTTTATTTATTAAAAAATTGACTATAAGAGAACATTAAATAAGAATACATAATAAATTTACTTAATTTCTTAAGAGATGTGAAAACTAAAATGGTGACATACAAATAACAACGGTGAGAGTAGATGACAAGTATTGTGTAAAATGGTGACTTATATATGTGCCATTTGTTAAACAAAACATATATTTAAGTGTCAAAACAAAATACTTTGGAAACATCAATGCATTTGCTGGATTTTGCTAAGAAACTTCCCTATATAAAAGAAGGCACTAGACCTCAAGGGGAGATCACAACCACATACAAATTCCCTCAATTAGTAAAGCAAAAACATAGTTAGCCAAATTTGAGAGATGTCTAATGTTAAGTTGATTGGTTTATGGTATAGCCCTTTTAGTAAAAGAGTTGAATGGGCTCTAAAGATTAAGGGTGTAGAATATGAATATATAGAAGATGATCTACAAAATAAGAGCTCTTTACTTCTTCAATCTAATCCAATTCACAAGGCAGTTCCTGTGCTCATTCACAATGGCAAGCCCCTTTGTGAGTCAAGTGTGATTCTCGAATACATCGATGAGACATTTGAAGGCCCTCCAATCTTACCTAAAGACCCTTATGATCGAGCTTTAGCTCGTTTCTGGGCTAAATTCTTCGAAGATAAGGTATATTGCCTTCATGATATATTAACTTTATTAGGTCTTATATATGCTTTTTATAATTACATGTAACTAAACAGAGTACACACATCTAGACATCTTATCTCGTCTTTGTGTCAATTATATTGAACATTCCAACTTATAATATGATCATTTTGACAACTCCAAAATCTATTGATATATGGATGAGTTGTAGTGTTTAATTGTCAGTTGAGATCAAATTGAATTGTCTAGATATGCACTTTTTAAAGTTGAAGTGCTTACTTATCGATTGAGGCCGAATTTTAATGTCTGTTTAATTATGTATTATGTAGGGCCAAGCAATAAGGAAAAGTATCTTTTTCAAAGGAGAGGAGCAAGAGAAAGGTAAAGAGGAAGTTTATGAGATGTTGAAAGTTCTTGATAATGAGCTCAAGGACAATAAGAAGTACTTTGTTGGTGACAAATTTGGATTTGTTGATATTGTTGCAAATGCTGCAGCCCTTTGGTTGGGAGTTCTTGAAGAAATATCTGGAGTTGTTTTGGTGACAAGAGAAAAATACCCAAATTTTTGTGGTTGGAGAGATGAATATTGCACACAAAACAAGGAATATTTACCTCCAAGAGATGAATTACTTGCCCATTACCAAGTTTACATTCAACGTGTTACTGCTTCAAAATGAGTGAATTTCAAGATTTTGTGTGGCAATAAAAATTAGAAATGGATTTAGGATGAGTTTTTGTTTAATTCAATTGAAATTGATTTTCGGTTGAACTAGGGATAAGAAAATAAAATGCATGTTATAATTAGATTTGTCTTTATTTCGGTTTTCACATATGAATAAAGTATTTGTTAGAAAATTTAGTAAGGTCATGAATTGTCTTTTCGTTGCTGATTTTTTTTAAATAAAAATAAAAATTGGGA